TTTTGGTATAGTATCATAGAAGAATATCTACATTTACCTGAAAAGTCTATTAAAACATGCCATTGCCCAATATAAAATTGTGTGAGACCAGATTTTATTTAGTAAGAACAACATATCACAGCAAATTGAATGTAGCTGCAGGTTTGAGAATTAACTTGTCTTCTATTAATGAAGATATTAAAGTGATTTATAAAGATGCAAAACAAAGTCACTGTTTTCATTATACTTCTTTTTCAAAATATAGTGTATTTTCATTAAAGATGTTATTTATGCTAACATAAAATAGAATTGTTAATGTCTTTAAATGGATTAAGGATCACTTTTTAAATTTCTTTTCATTTTTACTATGAAAAATGTTGATTGATACAACTGACATAAACAAAAGCACTTTGTTAAATTTTTTTATGTGTAAAGTGATACTGAGACCAAAAAGTTTGAGAACTCTGCCTAAAATGTACATGTAACTTTTATGCTAATTTGATTACAGGGAATTGATCCACTTTCCTTAGATGCTCTCGCAAAGCATGACATCGTCGCTCTCCGCAGAGCAAAGAGAAGAAACATGGAAAGGTAAGTTTGCAAATAGCTATGTTTCCTAAGTTTTTTGAAAAATTAAGTTGAAATTATCCCAGGTGTATTCCTTTTGCCTTATTTGTAAATCTTGCTGAGCAAAGTAGCGTAAAAATTCCAAATTTTGTTCTTAATTTCAGAAAATAATCTCACCAATGATCAAGGTTGAGAACCTGACTCAGAGTTTGGTTGACGTTTGAGGAAGGTTTTTATCTTCTTTCAGCAGAGTTTGAAAACTTTTTGACAGTGCTGCTTCTGAGTTAGCTGTCTTTGCATTTTAAGAAGTTAAATCTTTATGTTCGCCCTAACCCAAACTACGGTGACATGTGTGATTTCAGATTGTGTCTTGCTTGTGGTGGAACAGCTGTGAATTCCTTTGAGGACCTCACTCCGGATTGCCTGGGATATGCTGGTCTTGTATATGAGTACACATCAGTGAGTATTCTGTGAACAGAGGTTGCAAATGAACACTAAGCGTTCACATTGTAAACACTGAAACGTTTAATTTTGGCTTTTCATTTTGAAGTCTGTATGATTCATAGGTAGACTTTACAATTTGATGTACCTGTTTGTTGTGAGTTCAAATATAACTTGACTACATTGAACATATCATTGGCTATGCTTTATCAAAAAAGGTTCACCTGAAGATTGGATTCTCATATTGTGTTAGTCTGGGTACTTTAGAGAAACAAATCCACAGAAACACATGTATAAGAGAGAGTTTTATATAAGGGTTAAGTGCACATCAA